CCCACCCCCACCCCCCACCCCCACCCCCACCACCCCCACCCCCACCCCCACCCCCACCACCACCACCACCACCACCACGACGACGACCGCTGCTGCCACTTCCACCACCACCAACATCACCAACAGCACCATGACTACATGATCTCCACCTCAGACCCCAAATCAAGTCTCTGCGGGTGGGAGCGCAAAGAACTCTCTGGAGCGCTGCAGCACATCCTCCGCCAACCGTACGAGCTCCTCCAAATCTTAGGGCTCAGAGCTTGCTCAGAGTGTAGGGCTTTAGGTTTATAGGGTGTAGGGTCTATGTGGCACATGACGCCTTGGGATTCTACTTTTCGGGGTGTAGAGGTTGTGAAGTAGGTGTACGTGGTACCTCTGACAGTATACGAACCCCTAAGGCTCTTTTCGGCGTCAACTGTGTGAGCAACCAGACCATATGAGGCTTTTGGGCCCATTTTGAATCTTCGGGCACGGGAACAGGGGCAGTGCTGGTGCTGGCAAATCTGGATGCGTAGGGAGCCTTCAAACGAAGGTCAAAACTTCCACGGCCCATTCGGATTTAGAACTTAAGGTTAAGCCTCAAGCCTCAAACCAGAATGCTATGTCCTCAAGTCTCAACCCCTCGACCCTCCAACCAACACCTTGCACTTTCAGTTTTCAAAGCCTCGACCCTGCCCCTTACATCCATTGCAAAACTCTTTCAGCCCCAATCTTCGCAGATCTTCTCAAAGCCGCTAAAACCCCAACTCCTAAAACCTCAACCCTAAACCTTTAAACCCTCACCTAAAGCCCCCAAAGCACAAAACCCTAAAAACCCCAAACCCGAACCGCCAACCCTCAACGTCGAAACCACCCGCGAACCCCAAACCCTAAACCGGCCTGCACCACCCTGTAGAACCCTTTCAAGCCCTACAGAGCCAGGTAAACCCTATATTGAACTTGGTACCTTTGCAAAGAAAAACCTTAGCTGTTTCTAAGGGGTTCTAGTAACCGCAATAACAAAAGTAACCAAAATATAACAAAAATGAAAATCGTTTCCAGATACCCCTAATCCTAAACCCGAAAAAACCGCCTAAACCCTAAGCCCTAAACCGCCTAAACCAAACCCCCAAACCCCAAACCGTATAAGCCCTAAGCCCTAAGCCCTAAACCCCTAAACTCGAAACCCTAAGCCCTAAACCCCTAACCACTTTCTTGTTGATGGGTTTAATTTAAGCTACCATGACAAGGATACCATATTATTTACTAGAGATCCCTGTTATGGCAAGTGAAGCTACATCCCTCAACAAGAACCCTTTATTTATAGGAACCCTCTTAATGAACCCATATTAATGAATGCTTTATACCCGAAAAGTCCAAAACCCCAGATCCCCCAAACCTTAAACCCTAAACCCGAAGCCCTAAACTAAGCCCCAAACCCCTAAACCCTCAACCTCCAACCCAAAGCCCTAAGCCCTAACCCTCAAACCCAAAGCCCTATAAACCTCAAACCCTAAGCCCTAAGCCCCAAACCCCTAAACCCTGAACCTCAAACCCAAAGCCCTAAACCCTCAACCTCAAACCCAAAGCCCTAAGCCCCAAACCCCTAAACCCTGGACCCTAATCAGCACCATCCCTGGCACCTCTAAAGGATCCCTTTAGAGCCCCATTATATAGATCCCTTATAGCCTTATAGAACCCTTTAAAGGATCCTTTTAGAGCCTCGCTCGGGATCTTCAAGTAGAAGAAGCCAGGGCCCTCCGGTGCCACGGCCCCTGCCAGCGTTTGCAGATGTTCCTCAGCTGTTGGGATTTAGAGCTTGGGGGTTGTTGGGGTTTGGGATTTAAGGTTTGGGGTTTGGGGTTTGGGGGCTTGGGGTTTGGGGGCTTGGGGTTTGGGGTTTAGGGGTCTGGGGGTTTAGAGTTTGGGCTTTAGAGATTGGGGCTTGGGGGTTGGGGGTTGGGGCTTAGGGGTTTAGGGGTTTAGGGCTTTGGGGTTTGGGGGCTTGGGGTTTGGGGGCTTGGGGTTTAGGGTTTGGGGTTTAGGTCATG